AAATATTTCATTTTGCAATTTTTTATCATTAAATATCACCCTTCTAAGATAATTTAATAAATGAATAGCAGGAATAATAGTTTTTTCAATTAGGCACATCGTCCAGGAGCAAACATATTCTACACAGAATCTCATATCTTACCTTGATGAATTACTCCACAGTATCACACGGAAAAATATTTTACTATCAGAACTAAAACAGAGACATGGAAGCAGAGAAACAGAATAATATGCTGTTGGATACAGCAACATGAACAACTTCTATCGTTCAAGTCAAATTTTTATTGAATAAAAACAAATGGTTGAGAAACCTTGAAAGGGTAAATATGCCAAAAGTTCATACACAAATGATGGTACAACAAGTAGGAGGAAGAAATCTTAAGGCCATTATTTGCTGTTAGAAACACTTGTGCCCAGAAGCAGAGCTTTTTTTATTTTTTACTTTTTTGGCATAGACTACCATAATCCCATTGTGAATTGAGGAAACTAATGTCAGAGATAGAATAGCCTTTTACCAATCCTATGCTAATTTCATAGGTTTGAACACAAGCTTACTTTGAGACAAGGCCAGAGCCAGAACTACAGAAAATAATCCCCTACTTTCATACTGGCTGTTTCTTTTATGGTGGCTAATGGCTATAGCTAACACTCACTCAACAACTTCCCACAGACATTTAGTTAGTTGTTAATGAAAGATGAAGTTTTTTCATGTTTGGAATCTCTATAGCTTAGTTATAGAAAAAAAAAACCTCCTCCCAAATTAAGTTTGTTTCCAAAGCAAAGTAAGAGTGTATTCACCCTTATATTTTAGTGGGTTAAGATCGTAATGTACTTTAAATAAATCAATAGTGGACACACCCTTACTCACTTTAGAGACAAGTTCACTTTAGTTACATACCAAACTTTGACGAGTTATCAAAACAAGAAGGAAAAGATATGTTCTTATGACTTCTAAAAAACTGAGCATTGTTCAATGTCTTAAAATTGACCATGCCTTGTTCTAAATGTTAGTAATTTTTCTTTTATGTACCTACCCATCCAGATCTCATCATTCCCCAAAATATTTAGTCTAGTTCTGCCACTGCTTGTGTTATCATCATACAAAGATCTCATTTATCCTCCACAATTCTAAGATTGATTTTTTCCACCTATTGTCTCCATGGCTGGCAATAGCATGAGATCTTTTGTAAGTAGAACACATTTTCTGTAACATCATCATTGCTAAGCTACCAAAAAAAAACTTCCTTACCTGAGCATCCAGACCTCATGGAAAACAGCAAGCTAACATGAAAGTTCTGAAGGCATGAAGAAAGACTTATAGGCAAGGAGTTTCACCAGTCGCAATGATCTGACTTATCCTCACAAAATTTAAAGGTCATTTTGATATTGCATGTTCCTTGGCCAGGAGGGACAGAGAATTGAACCTCAGCATAGGGCTTGATGGGCAATGGAGTCATGGACTATCATTAAGTTTGACATTTTCAATGCTAAAGACAAGAAACTAAAACAAGTTTGTCAGCTCCAAGCTGCTAGCAGCCACCACTCACCAAAGGTCCAAATTTCAACTTTCTATTCTTACCTTTGGATTATTGCTCCCCCCTATACTAGAAACATATAATTTTTAATCATTAAATATCACCCTTCTAAGATAATTTATTAAATGAATAGCAGGAATTATAGTTTTTTCAATTAGGCACATCGTCTAGGAGCAAACATATTCAACACAGAATTTCATATATTACCTTGAAGAATGACTCCACAGTAGCACATGGAAAAATATTTTACTATCAGAACTAAAACAGAGACATGGAAGTAGAGAAACAGTGTAATATGCTGTTGGATACAGCAACATGAACAACTTCTATCGGTTCAAGTCAATCTGGATCAATGGAATCCCAGTTATTTCTATCCCTACAAGTTTTCATATTTCTTGCCATCTTGGGGTCATTATGACTTCTTCCTAGTTTGGATTCATTAGATTTTTTAACAGTAGACTGTTCATATATTCCATATTTGCAACCATGACATTTATTAGACCTCCAGCATATGAAACTAGATCAACATCATGAATAGCACTATTTCATGACAGCAGTATGATTATCTAACTATCAAAATCAGAAAAAGCCATGTCGACCAGACCATTTCTTTTGTTTGTTAAGAAACAGGAAGATAAACATCTAAGCAGACAAGCAACTTCATGCAATCATATGACAAACATCAACCAACCAATATCCAACATTGAAATTTACTTCTCCCATAAACCTATTGAAAAAGCATAAAAGATCCACAATTTCTCATAATAACAAACCAGAGGGCAATAAAATTCCAATGTTCAGCATCTAAAAAAAGATCTAATACCAGCAACCTAGCAGCACAGCAAGAACACTCGTATAAAAAAAAAAATCCATGCTTTAGGGTTCTCCATTGAACTTGTGAGCTCTTACAATTTTATTTTATTTTATTTTATTTAGATTTAAGAGTTCTTACTTCTTATGAAGTTAATTCCCATATATGTAAGCTTTTGTTTTTATGAACATTAATCAAAACCAATAACCCAAAATACGAAAATTAAATAAATAAAAAAAGGAAAAAGCATATATTTTTACGATCAAATTCTCCAAAAGAAAAAGGGGGTCTCAGCTGAGAAAATAAAAAAGGAAGGAAATAAAGTTTGTACCTTGAAAAGCTTACAAATAGAAGTGAGATTTGGAAGAAGAGGGGTATTTTAGATGGCGAATCAGCAGCGAAGCTCTCATCTCATCGAATTGGATCAGTGATCGCCAATGCTATGCGATGCTATGTGATTTGTGAAAGTTGAGAGAGAGAATGAGACAGCGACAGTGGATTTTTGTCTTGTAATGGAAAAAGAAAGAGACTGTGTGCGCGGGTGCCACCACCAACTCTATTTTAATTTAATCTTACCAAATAATTAATACTCACTTTAATTAAACTCACAACTCAAAACTAGTTGTTTAAATTCAACATGTATCTCCATAAGTTTTCAAGTTTTTTCGGTTTAATAGATAAATATCAACAGCATATTTAAACTAGTTTATTTTATCATTTTTATGAATTTAAATGGAATGGTGTTGATTATTATTTTCACCCATTTTTATTTATTGTTATTTTATTATCATACTTACTTTCCTAAATTCTGGGAGCTTTGTAGATTGAGATTTGCCCTTATTATTTCATTGGTTGAAATAAAAGAAACAAATAATAATATGTTAAAATATCGAAGAATATAGGTATGAAACTATTTTATATTGAAAAAGAATTTTAATTAAAAAGTTTTACAATAAAAATACTTGATTAAAAGTAAATTTCAAGTGCAAGAGAGTTGGGGCTATGCCCTATCAACTACCAAAAAAAAAAAAATCAAGTACAAGATAAATAAACTCAAACATATTCTTATATAGCGCAATTTATTTTCGTTATTAGTTATAATAGTTATAAGCACTTATTAAGTTTATAATCTTAATTTACTACTTATATATGTAAGTTCTGTAAGGCCACTTTTAACTTATTTTGATGTCATATGAAAATTTATAATAAAAAATATATGGATGACTTTTAAAACATTAATGATTACTGTACATTCATTTACCTTGCAACAGAAAAAAAAAAAAAAAAAAGTCTTACATGATTTATTTCAAAAGTTATTAGTGGTCTAGGACTTAAATCTCTGATGGATGTCAATAGAGCCTTCCATCAGCTTTGGAATTCTTACAAAAAAAAGTATGCTCTTTGGGTCCAGTTCTGAAAAACAAGTATCAACTTGGAGATAAGCTTATTCCTGTGACTAAAAACAAGTATCAATTTTGTTTTCAATGGGGTGCAGCCTAACACTCAGTCTAGCATTCGTAGCACTATGTGTCATTATGAGAGTTTCATAACAGCAAAAAACTCCCTAACAGCAGGGGGTCTTATTCAGCAGCCAAGAACAGTGCAGATGGTAAAATGGACTCCTCCTCCCTCTGGTTGGCTCATCAAGCTTTGATGGTTAAGAAGGATATTACTTTAAGTCCCTCACCCCCGCATGGTTATATGAATCTGGTAGTTAAGGATAGATTGGATACTGAGAGACCCAGAATAGTTAGTTAGGATTTGCTCTTCTTTGTAGTTTCCAAAAAAAAAAAAAGTTAAGAAGATAGAGAAACATACCCAAGAAAAAAAAAGAAAAAAAAAAGATAGAGAAGCACAAGGTAAAATAAGTTTAACATGTTATTACAAACAAATTCCGAAACACATTTAAATAAACAAAATTAGAACTACTTAAATAATTTTTTTCTTTTGTTTTTGTTGTATAATTAAGCAGAAAATTTTGGAAAAATGACTTGAAAATTTTGTACATCCTAGAGTTGGTTTCTTCTCAAGTTACTGTGGTCTATTAACAGTATTCTATAATGAAACTGGACAGAACAACTTGATGCAATTCTGTGAGATTAGCAATGCTACGCAAATTACAAGAACTTGGGATTTGAACTCCGAGGGTGACTTAAGATAAGACTACACATCCTCAATGTTGTTATTAAAGTCTCATGGTACCTTGTAGACAGTAAATAATCCATCTTAATGTTGGTTTCACACACTTAAATCATATTTAGTAAGTAGCTGATAAGAATAAGTGTCAATGAGATTTTGTTTACAAGAATAGATATTATCTTCCATTAATATGATAATCATATTAAAACTTGTAATAGTTTTCTTCTTCATATTTTGGTTTTACTGTTGAAACTTAAACTTGAATCCATAAATACACACAAAAAGGTAGAGCTGTTTTCAGCCCCCCGTTTTTTAACCCTTATGTAACTAGTAGGGTGACGAAAATAACAGTGTCATATTTATTGATTTTTAATAAATTATAACTTTTAAATTTACAACGGCAATTAAATTGATAATTAAATTAATTGTAAAAATTGTAAATTTTTTTAGTGGCCAGTGGATCCATTCCCAATTTTTTAACCCTCAGATTTTTTTCAAAACGTAATTTGTCTTTGTCGTCGTTCTTCTTCTCCACTACCCATTTTATCTTCTTCCTCTCTTAATTCTTCTTCTTCACAGAGGTTGTTCGACTAGTTCTTCTTCTCTTCTGATTTCTTCTTGCTTCAACTAGTTCTTCTTCTTTACAAAGGTACGGTTTCCGTTCACAAGTTTTTTTTCTCTTCAATGGCTTCATATGTTTTTCTTAGGATTTTTCTGCATGTTTATCTTAGGATTTTTCTGCTTGCTTCATATGTTATCATGGGGTGTTTGCCCTTTAACCTTGAAATTTCGTCTGGGTCTTTTTTTTTTTTTTCAATTTAAATTGTGCTATCGAGTAACTTTTAGGCTTCTTGTTTGAATTTTTCTTTGATTCTGTGGATTTGTTTGCAGAGCTTGATATACCAGCTTTGCAAGGGTGTTGCTTTCTGCCACTGTCATCGAATCTTGCACAGGCATAGCTGAAATTCCTTCCTTCATTTATCCCTCACGTAATCATATATCATTCTAATGAAAATTTATCTAGTGAAGATTTGCTTGAAAATATCCCACGGTAGTTCCTGATAACCACAAATGTCAGTCATAATTTTTAGGCATTACATACATTAGTTCTACACAAATATTGGGTGTTTGTTGTTTTGAAGGACCAATGAGATTTTTGGATTCTCATCAACTATTTGGTATTTTCTTTTGTTCAAACTGATATGCTTTTGTTGCCTTGGTTCTAAAATTTTTAACGATTTTACTGGGTGATGAGTACTTTCATTACATGGGCATAAAGTATTAACATAAAAATGCAATACTTACAGCAAGTAATCCATCCAAACCCTCCATAGGGGTTTGATTTTTCAAATAAACTGAAATGAAGTGAAGATTCTATTAGGTAGCTTTATAAGATAGACACTTACAAAGTGTTTAGAAGTCCATACAGTCATACATAATTTGTGATGCTAGGCTTTGGTACTGTAAACTTATTCCAGTGAGTTGGGAACGTTGCACTTTTTCACTATTATATTTTCAAGATTATTAAGCATAACATAAGTTCTTATGTTTGTCTAGGGATCGCAGCCAAGTTTTAGATTTCGTTAGAAAGGGCAGTTAAAAACATTTTCTGTTAAAGCATAAACTGCTGAACTTTACACGAGTACAGATAGCTAAGCTTTTCAATATAAGATAGGTGAAAAAACAATGAAGAGAAAGGTGTCAAGGTTATGGGAAGTGAAAATTTCAAGTCAGTACATTCATTATTCTAGAATATGTATGGCCACTTTTCATGATAAAGGTCAGTATATTTGGAGCTCCATCAAGATTAGTATTGAAAATAATGAAGGAACTGCCAATATGATAGAATCAAGCCAAACCATTGCTAAGATTCAATCAATGTTTACAATTTAAAGCAAAAATGAGGAAAGAGGAGATTTAAGATGCACAGGAAAAATAATGAAGAGAAAGGTGCCAAGGAAAATTAGGGAAGATAATGAATTATTATTCTAAGTGAAAAATTCTTGTCAGAATATTCATGATTCTAGAGGATGTCTGACTACTATTATTTTTTTTTTTAAAATAAATGTCAGCATCTCTGGAGTTCCATTGCCCATTTTTGTTCACAAAATTAGTGTTTAAAATAAAGGGAATGCCAAAATCACATAATCAAGCCAAAGGAATGCTAGCAATTAATCAATCCTTAAAATTTTTAAATAAACTCAGCTTGCTTTTGTCAAAGTATAACTTTGTGCCCAAAGAAACAAATAATTACACTAAGTTAAGAGAGATTGAGGTCTGCAGAAAAGTATAATTTGGCATAGGACAATTTTCAAGTGAAAATCTGTTACAGGCACAGTATGAAAACTGGTGTTTTCAACTGTCTGGTAATCAATAGGGAAGATGAGTTAAGTCAGAATGTCTGGTAATCAAATGTCAGATATTTTCTTCACCCTAGATAATGCAAAAAGAACCAAATTTGGAGATGTTTTATGTTTGGTGTAGCTCAAAAACAGGAGTTACATCCAAAATTGACCTTTTCCTTATCTTGCAATGGTAAAACAGAAATAGGAATTATTACAATGGCCAATTTTTCTTTAAATGTCACTTGATATCGATGAACTTTAAAAAACTGATGGTCATCCTCATAGAAGATCCAGTAGCTTATACAGTAATAATGTGTATAAAAATGTTCCTATGTAGCTAATGTGGGAGGAAATTTATAATCATAAATCTATATAATTCAGTGTTAAGAATACATCACTGTACTATGTATAATAGTAAAAACACTAACTCCTCTATGATAGTGACTATTGAATTCATTGTGATGCAATTTAATATTTGTCATCTTCAAGTGTAAAAACATTAGTAAGAAAGTCATTAAATACTCTCAATTTCAGAGAAATATATGTTCATTTGACTATATTACCCTGTTACTCCATTAATGCTCTCTCATTCCATTTAATGGACATACCAAAAGACAAGGATAAAGTTAGAAAAAACCAAGTAATTAAAGCCCTCTTGGTTTTCTGAAGTGACAAACAATTCGAAACAAGCAAAAACTTCTAAAGTGACAATTATTTTGAAATGTAGTATTCAATTAAACAGTTAAAGCAAGCAGAACAAGAAAAGAACCAAATTCATTACAAGACAACTATACCCCCTTCCAGCCTTCGCATCCAGCTTAAAGGGATCTAGGATTTCAACTTTAAAAATGTGCCAAATAACATTTATGGATTTTTGATCAGAGATGGGAGAAGGCCCAAAGTGCTCAAGTCTTGTATAAGATAATATTTGCACACAGAATTTTTCTTCAATCTTCTACTTTGAAAGCTACAATGAATTATCCTTCACACTTTTTTTTGTTTCTGAATTTAAAATATAAAATTCAAGACAAGCTTGTAAAATGAATTACACTGACTCCTAAAATGTTTCTCTAGTACTTTTGACGGTTAGTAAATACAAGATATTTAAATAAATGGTAGCTTTACTGACACATACAGCATATGTCATCTACATTATAATAAAGCCTTGCTACTGAAACAACTTTCTACCGAACAACTTTCTAAATTTAAAAGAAAAGTTTCTTTCTCCATAAGCCAACTAGAAGTACACAAAATAGCATACATGGGAAATGAGCAGGCAAAGTCCTTTCTCTTGGTTTTTATGTATTTGATATGAAATTGAGGACTTGAAAGGGGTTCACGTATTTGATATGAAATTGGTGGCAGAATAACTTATCATATAGTTCGTGATTTGGCAAATTTCATGAAAGAAAAGATTGCAGATTTGTTATCATCTTCTATCTCCATATCATCTCATCTTCGTCTTCATTGTTCTCCCTTTTTCCTTGCGGCTGGTAGCAGCAGCGTTCACGCCGGTGCTGTCGTCGTCGTCAAAGTTTGATTTGACAATGTGAGTTAGGGTCTTTTATGTTAAATTTCTTTGAAATATGGAGATTTTGTTCTACTTGTTGAATCCGCACATCATTTGTTATATTATTCCATTGTTCTCATTCATAAATATGTAGATCATAATGAATTGTTAAGGCTTAATTGAATGTAATTTTAACCAAAATCCAATTTTTTTTTCATTTGAATTTGGTTTGGTTTGGTTTATGGTTTGATTGATCAATTAAATTTGGATCAGCATGTTATCATTAGGCATGATCTTTGAATGTACCAATGTCCTTAGTTCCTGAGGGAAAATAGGGAATGAAAGATGAATTATGAACTTGAGTAGTAAGTATGCAAAGGAACATGAACAACTTTGAAATTTACCAATGTCTCAAGTTTGTTTTCTGCCCAATCATTAACCCACTACCCGAATTAATTTAATCTCAAATTCTCATTTCGTAGACAACACCTGGGACACTGCAACGGCCAAGTCACCCTGTCTCTTGTAATTTTGGCTTCTCCGCTTCAGCATTCTTCTTCTTCTGCTGCTGCGGCCTGCGATTGCGACTTGCGACCCTTTTGCTAGTGACTGCGACTGCGAGGTGTTCCTCTCCAGCGACAGGTATGTGTCTGGCCTCTTGGACTAGGTTTTGGTATGTGACCTTATTTGACTTGCTACTGGTCTTTGACTGGGATTGAAGGACTTTTTTTTTTGTTTAAATGTATTCATGGTGCTGCAATGTATTGCAAATTTGCATGACTCATCGACTAAAAAGCTGTTTAATGAAGAGCTGTCTTGCAATTTCAGAGAGAGAGAGAGATAGATGGGTTCTTCCCCTTCACCGGACATATACATCCCAGAGCAATGGTCGGAGGCTGCTGATTCCATTTTGTACAGTTCAATGCCCCCAATAGCTTTTATATGCGGTGCCAAGAATTGTGGGAAGACAACTTTCTCCCGCCATCTCCTAAATGTCCTCTTGCCCACATACAAGAAAGTAGCTTATTTTGATACTGATGTCGGGCAACCTGAGTTTACTCCTCCTGGTTGTCTATCACTAACCGTTGTTGACAAAGTAACTCCAGGTAGGGTTATCGTAATGAATCCCTATCCTAATTTTTACATAAAAAAATTATTTGATATTTTTATATTTTATTCCAGAGTTATTTATGTTTCTTTCTTTCATATTTTTTTGTAATTATTTTAGATTTGACAATTCCGTGCCTGAAAACACCAGAAAGGTAAATGCTGTCTCCTCTTAATAATTTGGGAACTGAATCTGTCATTCTTGGTTTTTGTTATGTTCTTTTTAACTTGAAATATTTAACAAGGCTTCTGCTTGTGATGGCATATATAATTTATTCAGTGGTCACATAAATTGAATTCTTCATTTGTTAGTTAGGTTAAGATGATTACTATTGGGGAAGTTTATTGCATGCTTTCCAGATTAAGTGTAGCTCTCTTAACAACAGATAACTTCTTATCAGCAAATATTATATATTATGACCATTTTCATATGATCTTCTTCCTTACATGGTTGTTCCTTTTTCTGAAGATGTTGTAAGAGTCAAGTGTCCTAGCCATTCTTCTCTCTTTGTTTTCATTTTTATTTTTTTTTGTTTTTTCATTGTTATGAAGTTTTTTTTTTTATAGACAATGAGGTGGATGGTATTTATTGTCTGTCTATTGGATCTATTCAATTATGTAAGTGCCAACCAATCTATGTATTATTTGAATGAACAAGTGATGGACTTGCTTGACTCGCTATCTGTCATTTGTTACGCAACAGGTGTCTTTTCTTTGGTGATGTTTCTTCTAAGAGAGATCCATCAGCATACTTAAATTACGTATTTGCTATATATGATTATTACCGAAAGAAGTATTGCATCTTTGATAAGGGAGAAAATCCAACTAGGATTGAGTTGCCTCTTATTGTGAATACTCCTGGCTGGGTGAAAGGTGAGCTCACTTCTTTTGCAGTTATTAATCTGATTATTTTTAATCCTGCATTTGTATTTACTGCACAAAGACTACTGCTTTCCTAGAATATTAATAATATATCATCTGTTATGGTATTCATTCAATGGATTCTTCATTTCCCTTGCATCTCAGGTGTTGGCTATGACGTATTAGTGGACATGTTGAAATATATTCGTCCAACAAATGTAGTTAAGATAAGCATATCCACTGTAAGTAAGAATTTACCTGCTGGTGAATTCTGGTTAGATGGGGAACATGATGGACCAGTTAACTTAATTGAGATAAATTCAGCTCGTCAAGACTCATTAAATAGATCGTAAGTCCAAATTTAATCAGAAAGTTATCAATTGAAGATGCTAGTTTGGTCCCTTTATTTTTCAATTTTTATGCATCAAGTATCATAGAATATACCTATTTGTTTTCCCAGGGTGCTTGTTCAGAAGGATGCATCTCTCCTGCGCGATTTACGAATAATGGCTTATTTCAGACAATGCTTTTCTAGTGATTCAAATATTTCTACAATCAAGGAACTTGCACACTCCTTAGCCTCTCATTGTCCTTATGAAGTTCCAATTACAAGCATAAAGATTCAACATCTTCATTGTGAGGTTGGTTCAAATTTTACTTATTATCTCTCTGAGTCACACCTTGTGCAACAGTATGGTTGCTGCCTTGTGACTTGATGATGGTCACAGGTAGTAGTTGCAGAAACAACCTCTTCACTCTGAATATAAAGTTGCGTACATCTAACACTTACAAGCCCTACAATAGTGGAATCTCATGACTGATCTGCCCTTTATATGTTCTGTTTTGATGCATTTGATCTATTTCAATTCCAATCCCACTTTGAATTTTAAATCTTTTTAATATAAACACAAATTTTGTAAAAAAATTGTTTTCTTGCTAGGAATTTCAACTATATTTTTTATATATGAGGAGGACTTTTTTTATGGTCTAACCAAATTTTTGTAGGTTCCAAGCTCTGAAATATTCTACAGTTTGAATGCTAGCATTGTTGGCTTAGCAGTTGATTCAGAAGTACCTGGAAATCTACCTTGGTGTCTTGGTCTTGGTAGGTAATTTGGCTTAGCTTTTCATTAGATCCCATATTCTGTTGGTCGTAACACGTTTATCAGCATCTCTTAACTTTGCAGTAACATCTCAACTGTGATATACTTAAGGGACCTCTCACCTATTTAGGCTATCATACTTCCGCAAATACAAAAGATAAAGAATTAAAAAAGTGATATTCCTCTGGAACTGTTTTTTGTTTATTTATTTTTTTGATAACTTGGAATTGTTTCTTTTAACAATAACCACAGATCATACAGATGTTTAGTCTCGTAGTTGTTATTCATTTGGATAATTCCATGCTTCTTCACTGTTAAACACATTTTGATTTCTTTTGATTAAGGGATTGTGAGGGGCATTGACACAGTCAAACATGTGCTCTATGTGATTACACCTGTGCCACATAGTTCTCTAGAAAAAGTCAACCTTTTGCTACAGGGTTATATCCAAATTCCTACTTGTTTATTGCAGGTAAGTGATTGTTTTATGCTATTTTATTTTCTTGACATAATTTTATAGAAACAAAAGACACTTTGTCAAAGTGTAACCAAGCTTTCTTTTGTTGTCTTACAACTTTGATGATTAGTTGTTAAAATGTGTTTTGTTAAATATTAGAAAAGGATTGTTACCATATATGTGTGTGTGTGTGTGTGTGTGTGTATTAGAGAGGGAGAGGGAGGGAAAAGGAATCTATAATTTACAGTCTTTTATGTCATGGGGCTGTGGCTTGGATTGGGTGCTGTCTGCTCTTTCATAATTCTGGAGAATCTTTTATTCTTGTTAAAGATTTATTTAAATTATCTTATTGTACCTTTCTAGATCTGTTTCCTTATTTTAATAGGTTTTAGTCTTCTTGATAGTTAGCTTGGGCTTATGCTAGGAGTACTAGTACTTAACCTGATTATTAGTATGAATATGAGTATTACATTAAGGCATTGTAACACATCACATCCATCAATAATATTTTCAGTTTATTTGCTTGGGACACATGTTTCAGAACTTCAATGCAATGTTTTTTTTTTGGGGGGGTGGGGGGATGGTTTATTAATGGTTTTTTATTTTGAATGAGGATACACTGTCATCACCTATGTTGCGGTGGGACTAGCAGGTTGAGGAGTGCTCAAGATATTGATTTGTTATTGTTATTGTTATTTCTGTTTCACGATATCATTATTAATGAATGCGTGTTTCTTCTCATAAAGAATGACTTTTTTTCAGGTCCAAGGATGCGTATCCCCTTACTTTTCAGCAAATGCTTTGACTTCAAGCTAGTTATTTTCTTGAGTTGGCAAAGACGACCATTGTAATAGTAGCCAACTCCATATAGTTGTTATAGGTGTTTTCTTTCCATGGTAGAAGCACATGGATTTCAATTTAGATATTCTTCAGAATATATGTATATATTTTTTCTGTTACGAAATTCTAACAAAATTTTAGGAAGAGGATGTAGATTTTTTTTTTCTCTAATTAAATATTGGAATTACAAAATTGGGTTGATTCCTAGCTGTTTTATTAATATTTTCTTTTACTGAAAAAATGTCTTGGAAATAACTTACAAGCTATTTATTCAATTCTCTACTTAAAAAAAAAATTGGTAATTTTGTTTATAGCTATATCTGTGGCTCTGTTGCATTAAAATTATGCTCACGACAACTGGCAGTGTGTTTAATCCCCTTTAAGCTTCGGCTATGTATTATTTTAATGATCGATTGATGCATCCGTTGCTTGCAGACCAGTCAAGAAAAAAGGGACGTAGTTGGAAAGATGTCATTTGGTTTGCAAGTCTGGCAAATGTCATTTGAAAAATATGGCTGTTAATTTAAGGTTGTGTGCAGAGAATAATAAAGTTTTAAGTGTTGATTTTAGAATAATAGATGAAGTGATGAGCGAAACGAAAAATTGTTTTTTATCAGATACATGACTATAACATTTATCTTAGGTAAATTGGGCGAGCCTTGGTTTGATAATTAGGGCGCATTTGGTACGCGACTTTTCTGAGAATGCATGGGAAAGTTAAGACGGAGAAATAGTTATACCACGTTTGGTACGCGAAATCCTAAAATTTTCCTGGGCTACACTTCATTCCAGGAAAATGGTCTGAGTGTTAAATGTGGTTGAAGTTGCGATGGAAGATTTCCAATTAAAATATGAAATTGTTGGCTTCCCCGGGAAAAGGAAACTGAAGCGGGAAAAGGAAGACCAAAATGACCCTATGTTTTGAATGAAAAGGTAAATGTTTTTATCAGATACATGACTATAACATTTATCTTAGGTAAATTGGGTGAGCCTTGGTTTGATAATTAGGGTGCGTTTGGTATGCGACTTTTCTGAGAATGCATGAGAAAGCTAAGACGGAGAAATAGTTATACCACGTTTGGTATGCGAGATCCTGAAATTTTCCTGGGCTACACTTCATTCCAGGAAAATGGTCTGAGTGTTAAATGTGGTTGAAGTTGCGATGGAAGATTTCCAATTAAAATATGGAATTGTTGGCTTCCCCGGGAAAAGGAAACTGAAGCGGGAAAAGGAAGACCAAAATGACCCTATGTTTTGAATGAAAAGGTAAATGTTTTTATCGATACATGACTATAACATTTATCTTAGGTAAATTGGGTGAGCCTTGGTTTGATAATTAGGGTGTGTTTGGTATGCGACTTTTCTGAGAATGCATGGGAAAGCTAAGACGGAGAAATAGTTATACCACGTTTGGTACGCGAGATCCTGAAATTTTCTTGGGCTACCCTTCATTCCAGGAAAATGGCCTGAGTGTTAAATGTGGTTGAAGTTGTGATGGAAGATTTCCAATTAAAATATGGAATTGTTGGCTTCCCCGGGAAAAGGAAACTGAAGCGGGAAAAGGAAGACCAAAATGACCCTATGTTTTGAATGAAAAGGTAAATGTTTTTATCAGATACATGACTATAACATTTATTTTAGGTAAATTGGGTGAGCCTTGGTTTGATAATTAGGGCGCGTTGGGTATGCGACTTTTCTGAGAATGCATGGGAAAACTAAGACGGAGAAATAGTTATACCACGTTTGGTATGCGAGATCCTGAAATTTTCCTGGGCTACACTTCATTCCAGGAAAATGGTCTGAGTGTTAAATGTGGTTGAAGTTGCGATGGAAGATTTCCAATTAAAATATGGAATTGTTGGCTTCCCCAGGAAAAGGAAACTGAAGCGGGAAAAGGAAGACCAAAATGACCCTATGTTTTGAATGGAAAGGTAAATGTGAGGTTATTTTCGTAAAATAACCTCACATTCCCACTAAAATTTCATAACCAACCAAACACAAACTCAGTAAAATTAACTTCATTTTCTTGGGAAAATATGAGTCTACCAAACAGCTTTTTAGTAATATTCCAGTAAAATATATTCCCTGCTACATTCCCGTAATATTTTTTTCTCGGATAAATAAAAATTTCTCCTCTACCAAACGCCCCCTTAAAGTTACTACCTCCGCTCACATGGGTAGGGCTGCATATCTGTTCTGGTCGGAGCTTCGCGAGCAAAATTATTATCCCTGTACTTTTTGCGTGATTCCCTTTTGCACATAACTTTTAGGGTTATATTTATCTCATGCAACATGAGATAACTCATATTCTTACACACACATAACAAAAGTGTGTCCCACTTTTATTTTTTATCTCTCCAATCATTTGTGGGTCCCTCTTCTTATTTTGTTTCACTAACATAAGATAATTTATCTACATCAACATAAGAACAAGATTTTCCTATTTTTTATAGGGGAAAAGTAGGGATAGAAAGTGACGTGGGAAAGTGAGGTGATGTGTAGTTTGTTGTTTTTTTTAGGGGAAAGTGTGTATCATTTTAAAAGACACAAAGTTGTGTCATTTTAAGTGAGAGAAAAAGATAAATCATGGGAGAGAGAGTGAGAGAGAATTTTTTTAAAGATGTGGGTCTCACCTCTTTGTGAGAGTGAAAGGATATAAGGTGTGCCATTTAAAATGACACATTTTTTCCCTTGTTTTTATGTTATCAATTGTTTTTTTTTTTGAGATATTAGTTGTAAAAGAGAAATGTAAAACACAAAGTGTACGATGAACATTTTTGGCCTTGTAAGCTCTCTGAGTCTATATGTTTATCTTGGATAAACACAAGAATCAATTGTAAAAGAAAAAATAACTTAATTGATCTGGTTCAATTTTAGAACATTGCTCTTTTTTGTTCTAGCTTATTCCCAGTAGGCACATGTTTTTTGCAGGCAAAGTCTATAGTACTTTTAAGCTATATATATATATATATATATATATATATATATATATATTGCTTGGAAATAATTGTTGAATTTGTAGTCCAAACTTTCCACTTGAACTCTCCTTTGCAAATATATTTGCTCCCAACTTTGAGATTCTTGTTGGATTATTCTTAGTTTTCTGTCCCATTTTCCTCTTCCATTTTAAATTTTATGTTGTTTCCCATATTTGCTGTAATGAGGGGAAAAAAAGATCCTTCTTCAATTGTGCGTGACGAAGGGAGGAAGGAAGAGGAATCTGATTTACAGAAGAAAGTCCCCCATGGGGCTCGGTTCTGGTTGTATGGGATACCGAGAACTGAGGAGGAGGATCGCGAAGCCATGCTTCGTGGTTATCGTAGGAGGGGATCCAAGAGGAGATCTAGGTTGTCGAGTCGTGGTTTAAATGAGAACCCTACTGGCCGGGGTCGTGGTTCTTCTAGGCGGGGTAAGGGTGGTCCTTTTGCTAACAGACGTATTCCCCAATATTTTCCCCAAACCGGGTTAGACCCTTCCAGAGTTGTTTCTACCCTGGGTCCTGATGTGTCATCCACTTCCCGAGTTCTTCTTAAATCCTCCTAGCCTAAGCAAGTCGGCCCCTGTTATTCTTGTGTCTTTCTGAGTTCTAAACTCATTGAGAAAGGATGTGACTCCCTAGCCGAGTCTACCTTGGCAAGTTATCGTCACAGAGATGTTTCGGGATCTACCTCGACTTTCGGTAAAGCAGATGATCCGATTGCAATCTCGGACAAATCCACCCCTTTATCCTCTAGCGATTCTTCTTCTAGTAGCTTTTTTTATTCAGGTATATCTGTTCACTTCTTCTAATTATGCTTTTCCTTGTTTTAGGTATTTATGGCGTCATCTTCACCAGAGATTATAGAGGAGTCTCATTCTGCTGAGTCGGATTCTGAGTCTCCTCCTGCCGCCTTAATAGCCCAGTTTTCCTAAGTGACTTATGAGGTTTTGAGTACTACCTCCGAGATAAGCGTGGAGGATGTGTCTGGGCTCAATGTTGGGAAGCTGGAGAATTAAGATATAGTTCCTCCACATGAAGATGAGCCAGTTTGTTCTGGGAAGAACTCAGATGAACCTTTATTTTTCTTTTTCTACCGAGATCTTGTTACCCAGCATTCGATTCCCTTTAACTGAATTCCAAATTTGCATTTTGAATCACCTCCATATAGCCCTTTCCCAACTCCACCCCAATGGTTGGGGTTTTGATAAGGCATTTGAGCATTTTTGTGCATACCTCGCCTTACCTTGCACCATTTATGTCTTCTTTTTCTTTTTTCAAGCCCTCACACCCCGTACTGGCCGTGAACCCCCAGAGAGAAGGGGTTGGGTCATTCTTCGGGGTGCCCCTTTGAGAAAACTTTTTAATGTTTATTCTGATTCTTTCAAGAATTTTAAGGAAAAATTCTTTAAAGTTTCTGCACAACCCGGGAAAGAACCTTGGTTTCGTAGAGGTTCTGATTCTAAGGATGTCGTGGGGAAATTCCCCTTGTCCTGGTCTCCTGACCATTATAATTTCAGTTCGTCCAGCTACCATTTTAAGGAAACCAAGTTAAGAGACGATGATATTGCTGCGGTGATTTCCATGGGCCAGTATGTCCAATCACATGGTTCTGTTAGTGTCGCCTCCTTCATTTTCAAATCCCAGGAGGAACTTGATTCAAAATTGAGTATAACTTTTATTTATTTGCTTCTATGTTTCGTCATATGATGTTTTGATCATAACCCGACTTCATATTTCATATTTGCAGTTCCAGATATGGAAGACCAACAAAATGAGCAACCTAATTTTTTGGCTGCCCTGAGCCGGGGTAAGAAGGACGCAGTTGTCGACTTGATAACCCAAAAAAGAAAAATCCCTGATCCCAAGGCCAAGAAGCCTACTGCTGGCGATAAAGGCAAAAGGATCTAGGCTGACAAGGGTGCCCCTGCCTCTACTCAAGTTTTAGTCAAAATTCCTGCTCATCACCCTGCCACTGGCCTCGCGAAAAATGCTTTATGGCAATCTGGGATCAGTGGTAATTTTTGTGATGTCGTTTGTCCACCAGACCATTTCTTCAGTTCTACTCCCTTTACTGCTTATGAGGTGAAGGAGTTAGAAAATATTGAGGTAAATTGGATGAAGATGGCTTCACTGGCGAGGCCTTTGCTTTCTCTTAAGAATAAGTACATCCGTACTTTGAATGAAATGAGCGTAGCTA